GTAACCAAGCTTTTGGGTATGACGAATGCGCTCCTGAGCAATGGAATCACCATGGGGTGTGTTGCGGATGGCCCTAGTTTGAATCCCCACTGGGGCGTTCTCGAACCTGGATTGTATGGATATTTTTCAAGGTGCTACACCTACTTGACTCGATCCTGTCGGAGACAGACGTTATATTCTTGTAAACTGACAGTGTTATTAGAGGTGTTAAACCCATGCAACTACATGTACTACTATAGTGTGGTAAAAAAAAATTCGTGGCGTAACTTATTGTCAAGTTCAAGTGTCTCCTTAACTATTGAACGGATTCTTCAACGTTTGCACAATGACTTATATATCCATTTGTCTTAACTGGTGAATATTTTTTCAAACGCCTGTACACTGTTTAATAGAAAATTCCTTTCTAAGTACTGTTAAAAAATCGAAGTCGACGGTGTTTACAGCTCGGGCAATATCGCTTTTAAAAGCAAGTCTGTCATTGTTTTGTAATCGGGACTTAATGCTCATTGAACGCCTGTTTTTGAGAACATTTAGTGCGAAAAATGTCTTCACTATAAAATTACTTTCTTGTAACAAGTTTTGCCTCTAAAAGTGTCATTAGTGAGGTGTGACGTAGGCTATATTCTTATATATATATATATGTGTGTGAGGCAGCGTGGTGGAATCAGGCTCTCGTCAAAATAATCAAAGTGAAAAAACTTGCATTTTTCTGCCGGTTTGTGAATTTTTATCAAATTTTTGTTTTTTGGCGCAACGCCTTTCATCCCCATCAAAGAACTCTTTTCAGTGTGGATTTTTCTGAAAAACGTTGATTAAAGTTAAAGGCACAAAAAATTTAAATTTTCAGTTACCACGAACTCTTAAACTAAGGACATAACAAATCTTTGGCGGCCATTTTCTGACTAATTTTACCTCTGAAAACAGGTGACCCCACCTCCTTCTTTTGCAAATGTCTCGACTTATATTCAAGATAAATGGATATTTTTTTTCATCCAAATAAAGACAAGAGAACAAGCTTTAAGATGATACCAATAACTCTACATGCCCAAAAATTGACGAGAGCCTGATTCCACCACGCTGCCTCACAAATATATAATGCAAATAAATGTGTGCTAGAAGCGGGAAGTGCTGTGAACAATGCCATTTTCCGCGTGATAGAGATTTATGGATTTTTATATACATTTATGAAGAAACGCTTTTTAAAATCTTGCCTCTATTGTTGTGGGGAAAATGTTTTTTGTTTGTTTTGTTGTAGTAGAGGTTTTGCGGCTCTGTCAACTGCATAAGGTCAAATGGGTGCCAAGATGTGGATGTCAACAGAGAAGTCCTTACAGGGAATCAGAATTGCTCTGCTAACCTCTCTAGCTTCAACAGCACAAAGTCTGCTTCGACTATCAAAGCACCCCGGAAATAGCTGGTCACAAGAGTGTGACATACATACAGAAGGAGTAGAGGAATAGTGACAGTAGTAAAGATTAGGAGAGAAAAAGCAGCAGTTCCCTGTTTGAAGTTCAGGCTCAGTTATGAGCGTGACATTGATGAATCAGCCCATTTACAATTCTGCTGTGCATAAGAACTAGAAATGTCCCCCCTTTGGGGATGGCGTAAAGACACTCCAGTCAGTAGCACCGCCCCGGGGGGTAGAAAATATGATTATGTTAAGACAAATTGATACAAGCTGCTGTGCAGTATGAATGACGATGATTCACCCGTTTAAGAGATATTTGAAGATAAGTTGCGCCACGAAGTTTTGACCGCACTATACAAGTGGTTGCACCGTTGACACGTTGACACGTGCCTACCCACCTTTTTAAGGGACGGTGTAACAGAAATTGTGTTCTTTTTTAAATCTGCCACATGTGCATCGTTTGCTGTTATAACTGTCCTCTGTGTAATTGAGTGTAATAGATTGGGATTTGAAAGGATAGAACCATCATTCCTGGGCTACCGAGAGGAATATTATATATGTAAAGGTTGCTTTTCTTTCAAACTATTTTTGCAGATTACGTAAACTGTCTCATTTCGTAAGACTTTAGTTCTAAAAATGCTAAGGCTTCGAAACTTTTCGACTAATAGGGTTCAGATTTCGCATCATGTCTTTAAACCATATTGCACCTTTTTGTCAACATCCTAATAATATGATTATATTATATTATAAGCATAGTCTTTTTCGTTTTTGGG